AGTAATCTGAGAAAAGTAAATATTATAGCACTAGAAAACATTCAACGATCATTCACAAAATGGTTTCTGAACATGCCTAATACTATGACATACCGTGAGCATTGCGAGGCGCTAAATCTGGAGCCGCTATGGCTACGCAGACTCAAACTTAATCTGTGCCTTTTATACCGCTTACTATTCGGATTGACCTTCACTGCTCGGCCACAACTCGAGTTTCAGACTCGTATGCGCTATGAACTATTTAACAGCGAGCGCACAGTGAAAATACCAAAGTCTCGCACAAAGCTCCGCTCAAAATTTTTCTCTGTAAAATATGCGTTAATATGGAACAAACTTCCATCGAGTGTTAGAAACTGCACTACCTATGCACAATTCAGACTCATGATTAATATTCACCTGACTGTTGCAAACATCTGGTCAACACTAAGCCAAACGGTGACTCTAGATGATTTGTATGAGAAAGGTCATGGATACCTATGAAAGTCACCATATCCTCTATTCGTTTCAATAATATAACATTACCTACATATAATTGCATTCTTGAGTATATATTTGAGAACGACCTTACTCCTATTAATCCGTTTAACCAATTCTGTTTTCTCCTTTGACGCACTGGTTCGTTGATGCACTACACCTTCCAAGCTGATGTCTCTGTACCATCGTCGTCACTCGCCAAGATTTTCCATCAAATTGTGACTGGCCTATTGACTGCTAATCATTTCAAAAACCCATATGGGAACCTTTGCTCAAAAGAGGAACAATTAACTATATTATGCGATCACGTTGTACATGTTGATAAGACAACCCAATTGGTCTTTGCCTCGCACTGCTGAGGAATAAAACGTTTATTTATTTATTTATTTATTTAGTGTTAAGTAACAAAGTGTAAGCGGATGAGTGCATCGTCTAACCGTCTTTTAAATACTGTTAGTTTCGGTGCAGAGACGACCGATTCTGGGAGAGCATTCCACGTGTGACAGACACGGATAGAAAAGAAATTTCTGCGGCACTCCAGACGACTGTATTGTTCTGCGAGTTTAAATGAGTGACCCCTCAGGTTTGTATTGCTGCTGAGTTGCAGTAAAGGGCGGCACACATGATGTGGATCTCGCAGAATCAAGCATGCCATAATCAGGTCGCCTCGTAGTCTGCGATAGCTTCCACTGAACAATCCTAGTCGTCGCAGCCTTTCCTAGTAGGGAAGATTGCGCACTCCAATTGTGTTCTTAGATGCCCGGCGTTGTGGCTGCTCCAGTGCATTAAGGTCGTGTTTCAGCCATGGATGCCAGGCTTGAATTGCATATTCGACATGGGAGCGAACGTACGCACTGAGCATTTGTCGAAATATGGAGCTGTTTATTTGTCCAAACGCCCGCCTCAACAGCCCGACGTGTTGGTTCCTGGTCTTCGAGGCCTTTTCGGATTGCCTGGAGCAACCCAAGTCGTCTTGAACCAGGACACCCAAGTCACGTTCGAGAGTTGATTGTTGCAGTACATCCGTTCCGAGTCGGTATGAGTAGTTGCTTTGATGTCGGATGGAAAGCACCTTGCATTTACTGACGTTGAAATGCAATAGGTTTTGGGTCGACCATTGATACACTGTATCTAAATCACTCTGAAGCACATGTTGGTCAGTGTTCGCCTGTATCCTGCGCCAGATCTTGATAGCGTCGGCAAACATTAGGAAGTTTGAAGCGATTCCTTGTACAAGGTCATTAATAAACACCAAAAACAAACGTGGACCTAGAACCGAGCCTTGCGACACACCACACTTCACTTGTATGGGTTCCGATAAAGAGCTCCGAACTCTGACCACTAATTGCCGTTGAAATAGAAAGTTGGCGATCCAGCTTAAAAGAGGGTCGCCGATCCCGTATTGCTGCAGCTTGGATAGTAGTATCCGATGGTCTAGACGATCGAAAGCGTTGGAAAAATCCAGGTAGATCACATCAACACCCTCTCCAGCGTCAGCTGACTCGGTCCAACTATTGAGTGCAATTAATAAATTAGTTGTACATGACCGCTGTCGACGGAAACCGTGCTGTTCAGGAGTGATGAGGTTTCAGTTTTCCAGATAGCACACCAGTGCGTCGGCAACTATGGATTCCATGACCTTGGATAGTAAAGGAAGAAGGGTTACTGGGCGGTAGTTGGAGGGATCAGTTCTGCTTCCACCTTTGTGAATCGGGCTTATCACTCCAAGCTTCCACATGGCGGGAACTTGGTTCTGGTCTAAACAGTGCTGGAAAAGCTGAGCTAAATGTCCTGCCGGTTGGTTTGCTGCTGCTCCCAATGCCTCTGGACGAATGGCGTCGACACCCGGCGAGCTGTGTTTGCGTAGAGTAATCAGCTTTTGCAATACAGCCACTGCGGTAAAATTGATGTGGGTTAGTCCTGGTGAACAGAATACAAAGCTTGGTAGATCGCTTGGTGGCAAAACCCTTTGAAACCTGGGGGCATAGTGCATCTGCAGCGCGTTTGCAGCTTCCATAGACGTTCTTGTTGGGCCATCAGCCGTCTTGAGTGGAGGAAATCCTTGCCTCAACTTTCGCAGGCTATTAACGTGCTTGTACAGCAGTTTGTGGTTAGCACTGAAGGTTTTTGCGATGTTCTGCTGATAGGCGGCTTTGTCTTCTCTTAACAGTTGTGTGCAGTGGTTACGTTGGGCTACGTAGTTGCCCCAAATTTCTGGTGCTGGAGCTTCTCTGTACACTCGCCATGCTGCGTTGCGTACTGTCATCCATTTTCTGGTTCTGCTCCTAACGAAAGAAACTGCTTTTCACTTATTACAAGCTTTTATCGCTGAAGCCTGTGCAATCAGCTGACTGAATGTGTTGACGAACTCGAGCCAGGCGACTTCCGGGGGTTCTTCTTCGAGGAAAGACCATGTTGTGGCGCTGACTAGCTGGGCGAGTCGGTCGTACCTTGTGATGGTTTGCACAGTATCATCGTTATCATTCCGGTATTCCGCATAGCAGACGAAGTTGAAACTGATGACTGCGTGATCACTGCGACCCAACGGGCAGTCTAAAACCAACGCATCAATCATATGCTCCTCGTTGGTAAGCACAAGATCCAGCACAGATGGCCTGTTACCAGTTCTGAACCCAGTGGGCAAAGTGATGTCGTTGTAAAGAGGAACGGTAGTTACTAAATCTTGTAAATCGGTTCTGAATTGTTCTCCGGTCGTGGCAGGGGCTTCTAAACAATGTACGTTGAAATCACCCATGATAAGAATGTGAGTGTACTTTTGTTGTAAACTGCACCTTAAAGCAGCCATTAGGTGGTAATCGGTTTCGGGTGTTGAGTTAGGGGCGCGGTACACCAAGATAATAAGGCAAGCGTCCCTGCCGTTTAACTGCAACCGGCACCAAAGAGAGTCGGGAAACTGCGAATCTGAATCCTTCACGGCTTCGCACTGTAAGTCGTTTCGGTAGTACAGGATTACCCCTACTCCTTTTGTGAGCCTATCGTTCCGGATCAGCGACATGCCGGGCAGCGACACTTCAGCGTCCGTCATTCCCGTGTGCAACCATGTCTCGGTGATACTAATGACATCATACGAGCCGGAAGCTTAGCGATCTTACAGTCCAGCCAGTTTGTTAGAAAGTCCCTGAGCATTTGTATATGAGCAGGCCAGTTTCTCGGTCTCTAGGAGCCCGCAGAGAGGTGAAGCTGTCAAGTGTGGGAGAATGCCGACCGATGGGAGGTCGGCAGTTATTCGTTTTTCTGATGGGTCAATGGTACCTCGTTTGCTACTTGATTCGGCCAAGGTGCGTCCCAGCCTTCGTTTAGACCTACGTCCGAGTCAATTAAAGCAGCAGTCAAGTTACCCTTCTGTACATTCGTCAGTATGTTTGCTGCTTCAGTTGCTTTAATAGTTGTGCTGTGCAAAGTGTTTGCGACCTTTAACCGAATTTCGGAAGGAAGATGTTTCCGATTTCTCCGCCATCGATCCAAAACATCCTTTGCTTGTTGCTCTGACTGAACCACAAGTTTTAGCATTCTAGGGCCACATCCTCTATAATTCGATGAGAGAGGTATCCTGGTGAGTGATAGTGCCACAACATCATCCAAAGAAAGTGCTTCACGAATGAACCGCCACTGTTCTAAATCGTGCTTTCCGGTCTCTGGAACATTGTTAGAAGGAGGTTCTGGCACGCCATGTATGAAGACTGTGTTTAGGCGGTCTTGCTTGCTGTGCCCCTCTTCGATGTTTCGTTTTGGTTGTCGCGCGCTCCAAGGGACATCAGGACAGATACGTATCACACAGGATTCGAGTTTTAGCGCGCTTGCGGAGAGCAAAACGTTTTCTACGTCGGTGGAGGATTCTAGAGTTACTCGAAGAAGTCTGGGTTCACCATAGTGTGGCAAGTTCGGATGACGAGTAATTCGTAACAAGTTTATGGGCTTGGCTTTGATACTCATCTGCATACACAATGAGTTCCATTGGTCTTGGTCGTCAGATAATTTATCCCGGAATGTGATGGCGGTAGCTTCAGGGACATTTGAGCATACAACAGTCCGGGCACTGTTGTTGGATCCCTTTTTAATCGATCTCCAAGGTATGGTACTCATATGTCTTGACTTGTTGACAAGTGATTGTTTACAGTTTTTCTCTCTATTTGCGTTAACGGTGTTTACAATGCTTTTCCACGCCATAGCAATAACTAACAGTTTGGAGAGACATTTTGAGATATTGCGAACTCGCTATCTGCATTTTTACACAGTGTTGTTGGTTGAGGTTTTGAGGTGTGTCTGCTCTAGCTCTGAGGTGTCTCAGTGCAAAATAGTTTTGATGGATATAGTTTAATGGTACGCGTATATATGCCGTGTTAGTAGTCACTGAGATTACCTTTCGTCAAAAAATCGTTCAACCAGCTTGTTATGTTTTTTGGTACAAATACACAGGTATGTGGATAGTGTTCAGATGCACAGAACGTTGAATTAATACAGGCGTTCATTTGCATTCCGTCGGCATGTATGTACTTGTGTTGGATTCAAACTGCAGGTGTTCTACGCTGGCAAATTACATCTGAAAAGACAAAAATAGCAATGATATATTTTTAAAACGAGTGTCTGCTTTTTCTGAGGAAGTGACTCTCACACTACAAGGAACGCTTATTGAATGAATAAGGGCATTAATAGGTCCTTAGCTACGACGCAGTGGCTTAAAACATGAGATTTGCTTTAGGTTGAAACTGGGACCCACCGTATTCTCACAATAAGAAGTGCCATTAAATTGTTGCGTGCTCGATGTTCAACTCAAAACTCAACCATCATTTCTGTGTAATGTCATAAGATGGACTGCAGTCCGTTTTAACACCTACTCCCCCCAGCAAACATCAATAAGTGGACCTCACAAGCGAGCAGTTTGGTGTTCCTTAATTTCATATGTTTGGTCAAAAGCATTCTTCTTGCAAACTCATAAAGTTTGTTACCGTCAGAGCGTGAACACAACCACAAAATCCGTCAGATCACAAGAGAATAATGTAACAGTGGTTTATTAAGAACAAGGGGCCTACGTACAATAAGTCGCTGTCTGTCTCTGTGACAGTTATTACCCCCTGATTCCAAACGGCGACAATGATATTTCTTCAGTAGCAACACAACTATCTGACACAAGGTACACCCAATGAACACTGTTTGAAACAGGTCAATGGACCATTATACCGATCACAAGTATGTGGCATAATACACCCGCTTAACGCGCATGTGCTTTTAGCTTTGACGAGGTGATTGACTTTTACGTGGCACACAACAATTGAACCAGTGACATCAATATTAATTTTGCTATCGATCGTCTTTAACGAACGAGGTGGACAAGTTGGGATACAAATAAATATGTACACTGCGACATGAAGTATTATTGTCCTAATCACCGACAAGGTTGTTGTTCGAAGATGAGCGTAAACTGTTCACAACATCTAACTAATATCTTTCGGACTATATGGAAGCCCTCTTTTTGATTGTACGTATAAGATTTATGGCGTGACTTATCAGCAGGAATTCCGGACCACTATGTCCTCAGTAGACACTTGGCACAATATAACTAACTGAAAAGACGACATTTATTTCCGGTAGGAATCAGCAATAGTAACGCAACAAAAGATGCCTGGGCAATAGCATATTACTACAAGGTAGTTGAAAGACCGTAAGGAAGTATTGGTTACAATATTTTAGAATATTCATTCCATTGTTTCGCAAGCTACATTGCACAGTGTGGTCTGGAAAAGCATCAGAAACGCTTCACCCTATCGGGGCTCATCAGTGGTGCGCATTCCCTAGGTCCCCTACTGGGGATCGAACACTTGATCACTAGAAGAGGATGCCAACAAGCCAGCAGCTTTAGCCACTAGGCCATGAAAGACGTTGGCTGAGCAACATAAGTTGCAATCTAACTGGGGTATAGCACCACCTATCTTCCACTGTTACTGACAGTGGCTAGCCTGCGAGGTGATGATATCCTCTCGCCATATGCCATAACCATAGCATTTGATACTAGGAGAGGCCCTTTATTTCATATTACCCTTAAGTCGCAGGATTCCAGTTGTATCCCAGTTAGCTTACAAAGACGTAGCCCAGCCAACGTTTCTCATCTCCCAATGTCTTAAGCTGCTGGCTAGTTGACATCTGCCTCTAGTGATCAAGGGTTTGATCCCCCAGTCGGGAGTCGAGGGAATGCACACCACTGACGAGCCCCAACAAGACGAAATGCGTCTGGTGTTTTCCGGACTAGGCTATGCCATGTAGTTTGTGAACTACTGGGAGGAAGACCTTAAAATATTACATCTAATATCCTGCTGCTTCCGAGTACTATGAAATAAATAGAATCGCCTATTTTCAAATACCACGGATATAGCGTCTAGCGAGAGGACGTCAGCACTTCTCACGCTAGCGACTGTCAGGGACAGTGGAAGGTAGGCGGTGTTATATCTCGGTAAACTTGTAAATTATGTAGCTTAGCCAACATTCTCATGGATCAGTGGCTCAATCTATAGTCTACTTGGCATTTACCTCTATCGGTCATGGTTTGGATCCACAGTAGGGAACCGAGGAATGCGCACCACTGACAAGACCTTATGGGCCAAACGCGTCCGGTGCCTCTCCGGACTAGGTTGTGCTAGATAGCTTGTGAACTACCGGGATGAATTCCATAAAAATCACAACTAAAATCATGCTAGTTAAGAGTATCAGAAGTATGGGTTTTCCCTACAATTGCTTGTTTGTCCTGATTATCCAGAGCGTGTTTCTAGCATGGTCCTGCTCATCCCTTACCACGAGATGATGGAGGCTAAAAGTGGCTTGTGAAAATCGCCGCAAAAGTAACCTCATCCAAATGATCTATAGACTGTCTACAGCCTTATTACCTCAACAGACTTGTAGTTCAAGAATGCTTAAAATTGGCTGGCTTATGCTCCTGTACATTATGCATCAAACACATGGCTAACTTTCCTCAAGTATCAAAATGGTATCGCTCATTTCAGGAGCCTATTGTGGTTGGAACATCTAATTTGGTCGCTAACGCTTACCGGTAGAACTAACGCTTGATCAAATGAATAATGACGATAAATCCGTTATAGAAGGCTAATGAAAGAGTAGGCCCATCGCTCATCAACAGCCTTCCCATGAATTTTGAGCGAGGATGGGCGGCGTTTTAAAATGCTTCCCCTGCAGCTTTGAACCTCAGACAGTGTGTCATACCACTAGTGGCCCAAATGTGCCTGACCAACCACCTTCAATCCGATTGGAAAAATTACGACCAAGACCACGTTCACCTTCCGAACTGTTCCAAAAATAACTGGATTGCTTTGACGACAGCGTTTGTGGGAACGCAGTTGCTGCCAAAGACATCCGGAAAGTTAAGTCTTCACTTACTGCCACTGAACTTGTACGTAAGAGCATCCGCTGACGGTGTGCAGATTATCGGAGCAATCAACTTCAACCCAAGCGGTAGAAACGATCATTAAGAGACCGTCAGTACTGTCAGTAATTAGCAGCGAATTGCCACAGTCGACTTAGATTATCTTAAAAGGAAACTAACTCAATGACGTGATCTGGTACAGATTTATATATGACATCCCAAATGTTGCGGCCAAGCGTACCAAATTGTTGCGGGTCAGCAGTCAGCCAAACCAAGTACTAGAATGAACCGACATTTCCCCGGGTTGTGCTGACTTCTATCGAAGAAGCAGAAACAATTCGTTTCCGGAATTTGTTTTGTTCCATCCCCATTTTTGCGAGTATTTGGTGAAAGGAGCGTAAATAAGCGAATCATGTTATGGAAGAATTTCGGAAATAATCCGTAGTTAGACATTCTTGTACATGGTATTCCTGAGGCTAAAGAGCATGATGAGCGCGAAGTGACCAAACACGAACAGGAGCAGCGGCGCTGCACTCGCCCGATCTTGTCTGTGAAAACCGCAAAGCATAAATGATCTCGAGACTACGTAGATTGCCAAATCACAACAAATATGGTCCGGAGATTGTGAAGGTTTTTCATCAATCCAACAGATTTTAACAAGGATATTGAAGTGCTACTATGCGTATCGCGGCAGACTATCTTCTGATCTTCGGCTCAAAATTCCGTTACATAAGCAAACATATGACAGGAGCAACTTAAACCAAGTACTTCCAGACAACGGTTTGGTCAAGTTTGCTCATCTAGCTGACGAAACTGGTGGTCAAGCACTATACATAAAGTGGGAAGAGAGGATGAAGAAGGAAATAGCGGAACCTCTGTATCTGACCCAGAGTAGTCCGTCAATGCCCCTCCCGAAAAACTATTATTGACGCAACATCAGAGAAAAACACACTTCCTAATAATTAGTACAGTGATCAGAGCAATGTTCCTGCAGGTACATCAACGCGCAAGGTCTCTTGAGTAACTGCTGAGTTGCGGTTATCTTAAGCAGCAAATGCTTTGGATCGCATATTCGGAACTGAAACTTGATTGCACTCAGAAAGTACGGACACCTAAGTCGTGATATATGGTGTGTCTTTTGTTCGATACTTTCGATCAAGCAAAATGGTTGGGCACTTCTACATTTCTACTTTGACCTGCAGTGCCAGCCGACGGACGATCAGCAGATACTGATCATTGACTTACTCCGGTGTCGCCTGCGACTGAGGAAATGGAATTTATTATCGTCTCACAATGGACTTCTATCTGAAATTAGAATGAGATGGAGCTATGCTCACAGTTCAGGCGACTTCAATATTCATGATCTGGAAGTTCAGTGTGAAGTTGCAAGCGTTTGTTGCAAGCATCTTGCTCTTCAGCCACGTCAGTTCGTCCACCAAATTCAGTGATGGAAACAAGCCATCAGTGCATCATTTTAGTGCTCGCGAACGCGGAGCTCATGATCGAATGGCAAACGATAATGTGTTCACTATGGCTAAGCAAGCATAGCACTATACTTTACGATAATTGTGTTATGCGGATTCCCCACAGAAAAACATTTCCTTGATTCGCATAATCACACATGAAGTAGGATATACAGAACTGGTTGGAGAAGACATGCGGGAGTTTTCGGATGACTATTCTATTCATAATGCATGGAAGGAGTTGGTTGACAAGGTCACATCCGCGTTAAAAGTGTGGCATCTGCCCATAGCTAGAGCATCATCATTCATGCGGGGCAGAACACGAAAATGCATGTTTGCGAGAAGCGCGGCGTGACGTTCGTCCAGAACTAATCCCAGCCCCGACAGCTAGAGCAACTATGTGGTGCAGGGCAATCAATATACCCCACTTGTTCACGAGGAAGAATTAGTGCACTAATGGAGCCTGGCGGAAATCATTTTTGTCAATAATATGCTTCAGTATAAAAATGTGAAGATTCTCTAGTAAATGAAGCGTGGTGTTCCCCACTCATAATTGCAAACGGATGTGCACAAAACGCAAAGGATGCAGCCAACGCTCTCCGGCTACAATATGCACCAGTATTCTGACGCACCTGTCCCGCTCCCCTACTGTGAAAGGAGGCAAAATCTGAGAACCACTTTCCTGAACTAATACGTGAGTACGGGGGG